TGAACAGAATAAACTGTTGATTATAATAGAATCAGGGACATAGAAAGGGAATGGACTGACTATTCCTGGGGGGGAAAGGGGTGTGGGAGATGCGGGAAGAGACTGGACAAAAATCGTGCACCTATGGATGAGGACAGTGGGTGGGGAGTGAGGGCGGAGGGTGGGGCGGGAACTGGGAGGAGGGGAGTTATGGGGGGAAAAAAAAGAGGAACAAATGTAATAATCTGAACAATAAAGATTTAATTTAAAAAAAAAATATATATATATATATTTTTAAATATATTTTATTGATTTTTTACAGAGAGGAAGGGAGAGAGATAGAGAGCCAGAAACATCGATGAGAGAGAAACATCGATCAGCTGCCTCCTGCACATCCCCCACTGGGGATGTGCGCGCAACCCAGGTACATGCCCTTGACCAGAATCGAACCTGGGACCTTTCAGTCCACAGGCCGACGCTCTATCCACTGAGCCAAACCGGTTTTGGCGCATTGATGTTTTTATCTCTCTCTCCCTTCCTCTCTGAAATCAATAAAAATATATTTAATATATGTATATTTTAAAAATAGGCATAATTTGTCTATCATCTATCCCTGACCTAGAAGATTATGAGAAATGTGTTGAAGCTGCTTCTCAAGGCTCTTCACTTTATAGCTGAGATTCTGCTTGTCACGTAAAGGAGAGAAGGGTGCTCCCTCCGGAAAGGAAAACCGGGGGCTGAGGGGGGGCGGTTAGAAAAAGAACGGAGGAATGACTACTTTGCAGGCGATCAATGCATGCACTTGACCGCCTCTGTGTCCACTGTACGTTCACTTCACGGACAGGGCGAAAGATGCAGACGGGCAGTGTACACCTCGGTGCTGTCCCCCGCTGCGTGCTCTCAGGCTGTAGGGGAAGGACTGCTCCAGGCACATACGCACCAGTCTTAAGCAAGCACCTCTGGGTTCTCGTCTGCGCGCTGGGCATTACTAAGCGAGTAGGGACCAGCCTCTCAAGGCAGGACCTTCCCAAAAGCTATGCGAGCTGTTCCCGGGGGCGAAATCTGCCCTTTCTAGGGACAAAGGAAAGGGACTGGTGGTGACCCAGTCCTAGTCTTCCTAACCCACATCCAATCCTCTCTTGTTGTCCCAGCCGGTGTCTGACTGTCAGACTCCCCACCGCCCATCACAGCACGTGGTGGCTGTCACATGTCGGCCACCTCCATGCGACCTCGGTCTCCGTAGGGAAGGACGGTTTTTTACCCTCTTTGGTCCTCAGCCTGGACAGGGCGGGGCTCGAGAAAATGAAGAGCATCTGCCTCATAGGATGACCTGTAATATTGGGTGATGGAAGTTTCCATTCATTCTAAGATGCACATTTTCTCATATGTGAACACCGCAGAAGCTGAGATCCCCTCTTGCCACGAACTGACTGTGTTGTGCCCCCGCCCCCAAATTCTTTTGTGGAAACCTAATGCCCAAGAGGATGGGATTAGGAGGGGGGTTCTTTAAGGGCCGTCTTAGGTCAGGATTCTGGAGGCCTCATGAGGGCTCTTATAAAAGGAACCCAGGGCAGACCCCAGGCCTTGGCCACAAGAAGTTCCAGCTAGAAGGCGCCGTCTATGAGCCAGGAGCCAGGCCTTCTCCATGCACCCAACCTGCCGGCGCCTTGATCTCGGACTTTCCAGCCCCAGACACGTGAGGAAAACTTTTCCGTTGTTTATAACCCACCCAGTTTACGCTAATTTGTTCTAGCAGCCCGATCGCACTAAGACAGTCCTGCGACGGTCTATCTTCGTGTTTCATCAAATAACGGTGAAGCTTACCATCAGAGGTGTCTGACAGTCAACAAATATGATGTCATCAACACACAGGCAGTCTCCTGCCTTTGACAAATGCCCGAAAAACCTGCCCAAGAACCACCTATCCACTTGGTCAACCTCAAGAGATTCCATATACATTCCCGACAGCATCTGGGTGACTTCAGTCACTCCCCATCCCTCTTGTATTTTAAATGTATCCAACGTGTTTTCAAAACTATTTTTATTTCCATGTCCATGTACACTAGTGACAGTATTCCAGGCAGTGCTCAATCTGACTTGTCTCTTTTCCATTACCGGCTCACACCACCACCGAGCGTGAAGTCATGGGAAGAACTTTGGCACTGTTTTGGAAAGAATCATTTTCATTCTAGTCGGGTTTTGCCACTCATCAGCTACATGTCTCATCTGTCCTCATCTACAAAATGGGGTGGGGGCGGGGGTGATGTGCGAGGTCCAACGGGATCACACGTGCGGACTCCTCCACAATCACCGCATTCTGAGTCTGGAGGACGGAAGGCCTCGCTCCCCGCAGTGACGCGCCCGCCCTGGGCAGCTTCCAACGCTGGGGAAGAACAGGGTGTCTATCCAAGTGCCATGACCGCTTCCTCTCTGCACCCCCACCACCAGTGGGGTGCTTTCTGTTCTGGAAACATCTACGCGACGTGGGAAACAAAGTGGCTGATTGTTCCATGTGCCTGCCCCCAGTTTCCAGCAGGAATGTGAACTCCGTCGCTTTAAATGTCAGTGTCCCCCGACTCCGCGGGGTCCCGGCAGGGACTGCTCGCTTTGCAAGGGCCACTAGGGGCGCCTTATCCTGAGGTTTTCAAGACTGTGTGAGCCTGGACTTGAGACTGTTTCTTTCAGCGTGATTTTCCAGGGACAAGCTCCCTTCTATGTTTGGCATTAAGGTAGTAATCATTTATTGGTGGGGTTTTTTTTTTTCCTTTTTAACTTCCGGCTTCCCCCTGCTTTGCACACAATTAAAACCGAATTTGTCTTGTACTTGGCTGTCGGCGTAAGTTACGGAGTGGGAGTGGGTGGCCATTAGGGCGCTAGGAGTTGCTTAGCCCTCGTGCTAAGTAACGCCATCTGTGCTCGGCTCGCACACGTGGCCTCTCTTCTCAGGGCAGCTCACAGTGATCGGAAAAGGCTGAGTGTCTTGTGTTTGAGATGAAGACAGGGAGGCGATTTGTCAGAAGTTATGACTCAGAGCTGAGCTCAAACCTTCTGAACACGGAACCTCCAGCCTTTTGTTTTTTGTTTCTGATTTTTGGTTTTGGTTTTGTCCGGGGATAAGAAAAAAGAAGTGAAGTCCTGGCCGGTGTTGCTCAGTGGTTGGAGTGCCAGCCCCCTCGTACTGAAGGGTCTCAGGTTTGATTCCTGGTCTAGGGCACGAAACTGGGTTGCAGGTTGGATCCCTTCCCTCCCAGCTGGGGCAGGTTCTGGAGGCAACCAATTGATGTGTCTCTCTCACATCAATGTTCCTCTCTCCCCGCCCCCATTCCCTCCCTCATTTCCATTCTCTCTAAAACTCAATGGAAAAAATATCCTCAGGTGAGGATTAATAAAAGCAACAACAGAAAAGTGAAAAAAATAAGATTTGAGGAAGCATTTGGCACTTTATGTTCAATTCTCGTTCAATTCAACTGGAACCATCTTCCACTCTCTGTATGTCTTTCTTTCATGTTTTATTCCTGAAAATGAACTTGTCAGTGAATTATTTTCCTTTGTACTTTTTCTGGAACAATCCCAGATTCTTATGGTGTTACAGAATACATTGAGCTCAAGGCCTTCCATAAAGCAGACAGCCTCAGGGAAGCAGTGAAGGATAAATTACATGAATGAGTCAGTACAAAGCTGCTAATAAAACCTACGATACAGGTGAAGGCAGAGGGTACAATTTGCTGACAAAGCTATTTAGTATTAACTACCAAGAACTAGAAATACAGAAGATAAAGAAGTAGGAATTATTTATTTAAATTGCAAAAAGTAACAGAGACTTAATGTAAAGAGGAAAACAGGAATGAATTTCCAGCCCTGACACTTATTTATGTAAATAGTCACAAAGAAAGAACTTATTTTTTGACGTAGGACTGCATTTTCCTTAGACAAATAGGAAAAAAATTACATTATATGTTGGCCAAACTTGATCGGTGATTGGAGTTCCTAAACACAATTCTTTTACTGTATTAAATCTTTTCCATTTCACAACTTTTTTGCGTGTTTTTAATGTTTGATTACTGTATTGTGTTACTGCTTTTGTAGTAAAGTTTGTTTTCTACATGTGTTACTTTTCTTTCTAAAAACTAAAAAAAAATCCTCTTTGAGAAGTCTTTGTATAAGAAAAGAAAAAAAATAGTCTGTAAACGAATCAGATTTCATAGATTCATAGCTACAACTTCATGGTTTCTCACAAAAACCTTACTAGTTTAAATGATTTAGGAACATAAATTGAAATGAAACTTCTAGGATAATGTTTGGTTAACCAAAAAAGATGCAGAACATACATTTGGGAGGGAAGGTGGGGGAAACGTGTATGTAAAGTTAGGCCGGCGCTCTATCGAAGCGGGAGTTATTTCCGAGATGATGGACAGATCTTGGGGGAATCTGCTTGAACAGAGAGCGGAGCTCCGTTCAGATTTGGCGTCTCCTTCCCGGCACATCCAAAGAAGCCAAGTGGCATTTCCTCGGCAGGAAAACATGATCACAGGCCGCAGCAAGAAAGGATGCTTCTCTGGTCCTATCCCCATGTGGAGGGCCCGAGGCCGCAGGGGCCGCGTCCCGGAATAAGCACGGCGAGGGCGTCCCGGGGCCAAGTCAGGGTGACCCGCGCGCACTGCCGAGACCCGCTGGCTGCGCACGGAGCGCAGGCGTCCCCCGCCGCACAGGGACAGTGCCGCGCGCCGCCGTGTCCCCGGGCGCCTGGGCGCTGCGTTGGGGGCCGGGAGCGGGGGGCCGGGAGCGGGGGCCGGGCCGCCGGGCCCCCGAGCACCTGCTCCTCCGCGCGCTCCCAGGCGCTCCCCGCGGGCTGGGCCGGCGCTGCGAGCCCGTCGCGGGGCTCTCGGGAGGCCGCGCCGCACCTGGGCCCGGAGGCCGCAGCACCCGCCCGCGGGGAGGGGAGGGGAGGGGAGGGCAGGGCAGGGCAGGGGCGGTGCGGGGGGCGGGGGCCGCGCGGGGCAGGGCCGCGCGGGGCAGGGCGGGCCGCTCGCGCTGCTCGGGGCCGCGGCTCGCGGAGGCCGGCACTTGCTCCGAGGTCCGCGCGCCGCGGAGCGCCGGCCATGCGGTCCCTGTGGCTGGCGCTGTGCGCGCTGGCGCGCCTGTGGCCCGGGGCCCTGGCCGGCTGCGCCGAGGCGGGGCGCTGCTGCCCCGGCCGGGACCCCGCCTGCTTCGCCCGCGGCTGGAGGCTCGACCGGGTCTACGGGACTTGCTTCTGCGACCAAGCCTGCCGCCTCACCGGGGACTGCTGCTTCGACTACGACAGGGCGTGCCCAGGTGGGTGGCGGGGCCGCGGTGGGGCGCCGGCCACTCGCCCGCAGCCCAGGGGCACGGGGTCCCCTGGCAAGGACCGCAGCCCCCAGCCCCTTCCATCCAGGCGGGCCCATCCCTCTCTCCCGGCCAGCCCAGGCCCTCTCCGTCCACGTGCGCCCAGCTCCTTCCATCCAGGGGTTCCCCAGACCCTTCCATCCCGCTCCACCAGCTCCACCCTGGAGCCCTCCACCCGGCCCCTGCATCCGAGTACGCCCAGCTCCATCCGTCCAGGGCGCACAGCCCCTCCATCTGTGTGCACCCCGGGTCCCTCCAGCCCCGTGCATAGACACACCGCCCCAAAGCGCCCCTCCCGCCAGGGTCTGGATGGAAGGTGCGGGCGCCTTGAAGGGGCAGGGCCGACTCCCGCCTGGAGAGATGGCACTGGCAGGTGCGGGGGGGGGGGGGGGGTGAGGAGCGCCCCTGGGCCCGGGTTCCTCCGCTTCCATCCTGAGAACCCTCCGGGACCTGAGGGGTGGGTGAGGGTGGCGAGGGAAGGAATGTGCAATGATCCCACTCTGGGCCGAGGGCTTGCCCAGGGAAAGAGTTCTTGGCGGAGCACAGCTGTGCACTGGGCGTCGCCTACAGGCCTCTCCACCGGCAGGGCCCCTCGGCTCCCAGAGGGCCTGTCATCTAGGTAGTCGATCAAGATTTCTCTCTCGGGTTCCCGTTGGTTTCCGTCTTGCTGGTTTCCCTTCAGGGCCAGTCTTTTCCCCCCTTGCATTCCCCACAGCATCACAGCCCGGGCTGGGCTGTCCCCGCGCTGTAAGGAACGCAGAGGTGAAGGCAGAACAAGGTGCACCTGGGAGCGCGGCTCTGGGAAGAAAAGTAGCCCCACTCCCGCCGATCGCATCACCCACCAGCCGCCCAGACGTTAGGGTTTGCGCCAGGGCCCCGGTGTGGTGGGGTCCTCGCACCTCCCTGGGAGAGCGGCCTGCAGGGCCGGATCACTCCCTGGAGAACGGGGGTGGGGGGCGCCCCCGCTGCCTCCTCTCTCAGGGATGGTCCCCATGCCGCGGGAAGAACACAGTTGAAAACCATTAAGAGTTTTTGACCCTGATGGGAAGCTAATGATTTACCGACCGCTGTTGATCTTTTTGATAAGCTCTTTCCCTCTCCTGCTGGGAGGCCAGGGTATTTTACTACTAATGAAGGAGAAGAGTGGGCTCTTCAGGAAACGCAGTGCCTGGGCCCTGTCCCAGCCCCTCCTCGCAGCCCCCCTCCCCAAGCTGCTTCCTTGTCCTGTCCCGGGGTCTCCAGGGAGCCTGGCCATGTGCAGCCCTCTCACCAAGGCTCTCCCTCAACGGCTTTGCCTGCATTTCATTCTTGTTTTGTTGTTTTTAATCCTCACTCGGGGATATTTTTTCCCCACTGATTTTTAGAGAGAGTGGAAGGGAGAGGGAGAGACGCAGAGAAACACCAATGTGAGAGAGACACATCGATTGATTGTCTCCCGAATGCCCCCCGCAACCAAGGCCGGGAGCCTGCAACCGAGGTACATGCCCCTGACCCGAATGGAGCCCGGGATCCTTTAGTCTGCAGGCCAACAATCTATCCACTGAGCCACACTGGCTAGGGCCTTTGCCTGCATTTTAAAGGTAAATGCAGAACTCCTGTAGTTCAGAGCATGTGACCCGGACTGCAGTAAGCCCAGGACACAAAGATGACGAAGGCAGGGGCTCTGCCCCCTAAACATTCAGTCAAGCAGGCAAACACACATGGAAATGTGCGTGCAACACACTTGGTGCCAGAATAAGGGACCTAGAGGCTAGAGAAGAAAAACTCGAAGGACCAGAGGAACTCAAGGAAGACTTCCCAGAGGAAGTGGCAGGCAAGCCGAGTCCTGGAGGGTGAACGAGAGGTTTCTACAGGGGAAAGGATTTCTGGGAGCATTCCAGCAGGTCCCTGTGGGCGTGGGCCTTTTGTGCAGGCCCTGGGCAAGGCCCTGCAGCCACCCTGGCAAACGGGACAGGCCCGGTGAGCAGTTAGCTGTGGAGATGGGCACAGAGAGGGATGGAGCAAGGCAAGGCCAGTGTCCTGAGGAGACCTGGCTTCCTGTGAGGACTCACGCCGCTGTGAGCAGTTGCAGAATCCTCAGAGTCTGTATTTGGTCAAAAATAAATCCCTTGCTTTCAGTCCAGCAAGTAAAAATGTTTTTTAAAAAGCCTATAATTTTGGAGAGGGGGCTTATGGAGTCAGAAATACCAGGTGACCATACCATCTCTGGAAAGCCATCCAGCCTAATAGGAAAAGGCCGGGGACCGAAAAGACTCCTTGTTAGTAAAGGCTCTGCACCTGCGGTGTTTGGGGAAGAGAAGGAGAAAATAGAAACAGTTGGAAGTTGGCCACTTGGCGAGCCTGAGCCTGCTGAGCCCTCAGAGCTGAGGGTGAGAGGGCGGGCACCGCGGAGCTGACTGGGGGTCTGGAGAAGGTAGGAGGCTGCGTTCGGATTTCACAACTTCAGAGCTGCGGGCGCTGAGACTGCAGGGGGCTCTCGGGTCACCAAGTTCCAGGAAGGGACAGCGGAGGGAGAGCAGCACCCAGGCCGCCTGAGTTCAGGCTGCCACCGGCCAGGCCTGTGTGGGCCAGGGCACGGCTAGTCTTCATACCCAGCCAGCCCACCCAGGCTCAGCAGGGCAGAGCCCCGCTTCTGCACCCACATGGGAGCGTTCCGCCTCTGTCTGTTCTCACTCGGTGCTGTGTGCAGCCGGAAGCCGCTCTGACGGGTGGCGTTGCATGTGAACGAATACGGACTGTGTCAGAGCTCAGCTGCCTCACTTCTGCTCCTCCTGACCTTCCATCCTGATACACACGCTGCGGCCTGTGTGTGTGTGTGTGTGTTTTGGTTTTCGTTGGTGTGGCTAAAAAATGAAATACTGGAATGCCTCTTTCTAAATAGAAAGTTATTTATTTTTACTCAGTAAAAATAAGCTATTGGACCTATAGAATTACTGAACTGCCCCCCACCCCCAAATGTGTTCTGAAACGGTCTCAGAAATGCTCATGGTGGTGATGGCAAGGTTGTAATACCAAGGATGTCTTTTCACACACCCCCCTCCACCCCCACCCCTGCCCACCAAGAGAAGAAATTCTCCTTTGGCCTCATCAGGGATGGGAGGGGGCAGGCAGAGGAGGGGACAGATCGATGCTACCTGTCCGGACAAACTCCTGGGAAGGCTTGCCTCTCAGGCTCAGAACAGCCCAGTCTCTGTTCATGGCCGGGTTGCTAGTGCTTCTTTCTAAGACCACAGACGCAGTGGCCGCATTAGATCGTGGGTGCGCCACTCAAGGAAAGAGGAATCACTAGCCCACGTGGAGGGGGACAAAAACTGAGTAGCCCATCTGGGCCGGTCTCTCCTAGATTTATCGAGAAGGCAGGAAATCAACGGGCCAGATCTGCTGATGTCATATCTGCAGGAAGATGGGGCAACATACTTGAAAACACGGGCTCTGAAACTCACCCCAAGGAGGGGTGTCACAGTCCCGGATGGTTTGGAAAGTTGAGGCTTTACTGGAGCCAGAGTGGCCGAGGGACAGCGTGCAGCTCCCCCGCTTGCGTCTCTGCGGGGCCTGGCACCAGTGTTCAGCCTGCAGGACGTGGCTGCAGCCCTGGGCATGCCGTCAGGGGGGTAAAGGGGGCCAAGGCTTACCCAGCCTGTGCTCTGTGCCAGGCCCTCTTGGGGCACCTCGCAGCTCTAACTGACTTAGGTCTCATGCCCGCTGGGTTACACGCATACCTCGGAGATATTGCGGGTTGGGTCCAGACGACCGCAATAAAGTGAGTCACGATCTTTTTGCTGGTGGATGGTCTTGCCTTCAATTAAAAAAGCAAAGCCAGCCCTAACTGGTTTGGCTCAGCGGATAGAGCATCAATCAGCCTGCGGACTGAAAGGTCCCAGGTTCGTTTCCGGTCAAGGGCATGTACCTTGGTTGCGGGCACATCCCCAGTGGGGAGTGTGCAGGAGGCAGCTGATCGATGTTTCTCTCTCATCGATGTTTCTAACTCTCTATCCCTCCCTCTTCCTCTCTGTAAAAAGCCAATAAAATATATTAAAAAAAAAAAAAGCAAAGCCAATGGCTATGAAGCCCAATCAAGTGAAATGCAATACAACAAGGTCTGCCTGTATTCCTCGTGTTGGTCTCTTTCACAGACAAGGTATTCAGGGAACCAGGAGGTCAGAGGTTAGGCAATTTGTCCAAAATCACACCACTAGTAAGTCAAGGGGATCGAACCCAGGGACTCTGGATCCAGAGCCCGCACGTTTAAGCATTATGTTTAGGTGCCTCTGAGAAAGGAGGCTTTACTAGAAGCTGGGTGCTTGCAGGGGAGGCCCTACAGGTCCTGGTGGAGGAGCGAGCCTTCTCTCTCGGTCGACATGGGTTCCTCCAGGGCACAAAGCGTGTCCTGCTCCTCTTGCAGTTCCCTGATGGCTATCGCGGGGCTTCGATAACATTTGTCAAAACATGTGAGCCACCATTCCACGTGTTTTGACGTAATCTGTGGCTTCCAGGCACTGCCGGTGGGGTGTATCCACATGTCCTTTTAAAAACATTTTCTTCCTGGACTACAAAATATATGTTGCACAAAATTTGGAAAATATGGAAATGCGCCGAATAAGAAAACAACTCACCCAGAAACAGCATCATTGTCTTTTTAATTTGCATCCCCTTTTTTTCTGGGTTTACATGGTGCCTAAAATCCCATCTTCCTAATGAGGCAGCCCATTTCATTGTCTTGCTAGCATTTCAGCTCTTATCCAGTCAGTGTGTGGAAAGGAAAATCCCCAACCCTACAGGGGCCGGGTAACGTGGTTTCTGCAGGAGGAAAGCGACATTGGTCATTGTATTGGAGCCTTCTCGCGGGGCACACAGTCAGTTGGACATTGTGGTCTCATTTGACCGTCAGAGCAGCTCTGCTGAGGTTCCACAGAAAAGGACGTACACATGGAGACGGAGACAGATAAAGG